TGGAACCGATGTTGTCATTGTGGCTAAAAAATCTTTAGCCATCCTTGAGAGGTTTGGGAAAGATTTTTCATGAATTTAACACCAATCCAAAATGTCGATGTTTTCATCAATTCGAGGAATTGCATAATACTGCGTAAGCTCTTTCTTCCTGTAATTTCTTTGATCGCGATCCTCTTCTTTTAAAAATAAAAAATTTATGTGACACATATACGACTTATGCTTAGATGTGTAGCTACTGGTCTCACTAGACCGCCGACTGATGGCGTTGATCGCGATGTCGTAAACCATCCTCGAATTGGCATCCTTGGGCAGAACGCTTATGACGCGACCACACGACGTAGTGAAAGCCTATGTTTACACCCTGCATTTAGGGCTGCCGCACACACCTTCCGTAACAGTACCCATAAGCCGTACCGTAAGTATCAGCCAATCAGAATTAAGAGTTCAAAAGAATTCTCGACTGTGATTGGCTAATTCTTATGGTACGTCTTGAGGTTACTGTTGAAGTAAGAGTAAGAAATTGACCAATCACAGTCGAATGTGAGAAGAATAATCGACTGTGATTGGTCAATTTCTTACTCTTTTTACTCCGTGTATTGTAGACGACGCCTTAAGGGCCATTCCACACAAACTTGCAGAGCCACGTAACCATATGCATAAAGAAAATTATCCAATCACATTTCTGATGTCATAAAGCCAAGCGTAAACTACGATTGGATGATTTTCTTTATGCATATGTTTATGCGGCTATGCAAGTTTGTGTGGAATGGCCCTAAGAGCTGCCGCACACACCTTCCGTAACAATAACCTTAAGACGTACCGTAAGAATTAGCCAATCACAGTCGAGAATTCTTTTGAACTCGTAATTCTGATTGGCTGATTCTTACGGTATGTCTTATGGTTATTGTTACGGAAGGTGTGTGCGGCAGCCCTTAAGCCGCGGCCCATACAATAGATGTCAGTCTCTACGTTTACACCAAGAAGACTAGGGCCCAGTTCCACAATTCACGGTTAACTCTTAACCGAGGTTTAACTTATTCATTGTCTCTTT